CAAGGTCTATAAAGCAATAGGAGATTAGTAAATTGACTTTGCTGCTGTGTACCGCTCCCATTCAGGTACGTACGACGAGCACTACTCACTGGCATGGCACGCGTACGCCTGTTCTCGGACATGAGTGCATAGCATTTTATCAGCTCCTGCACTATGTACGTACAAGGCTGGTACTGAGATTTACTGAGCGTATTGAACGCTCAACAGCCCATATCCCTTACAATTGAGCTATAGGCTCTCATTATAAGTATCTTTCGAGAGGGCCAGACTGATTCAGCGCCACGCCAAGTTTGATACAAACCGAGCTTAGCACATCGGTTGAATGCATTCAATAGTATATTTAACCCCATTAAAGCGAAAAACACCCATACACCATCGACCGACTCGGCCGCAGCCTTGAAAACGCGCTCCTTATCCCGCTGGACGCGGGCACGTGATCGTTCTTCTCTGCCGGTCTGCGAGCCGCGCTTTCTCGACGGTGCTATATCGCAGCATCTCGACGGTTTGATGGCCGCCGTCAAGGAAATGAATGGGCGACGCAACCTCACGAGAACCATCATGCTCACGAACACACGAACAGCGCACTTGCCCAAGTAATAATCAATGTCTAAGGGTCAGAGATAAGCTTAAGTCTAAGTATCTAGTAACTGTCACTGAGGCAAAGGACTGAAAGCATGACATACATATATAGGGATATACTGGGAGGTCATGACTTGAATGATGTACCTTGCTCGAGCCACCGGGTGGAGGCCCCACGCAGCTCCACATCCCTGGGAGAAACTGAAGTGTCATGAATTCATATTGAGTTGTCGGGAATTCAGGATGAACAAAAAAAACACAAAAATGAAAATTAAACCATCATGAACTGCATCACGAAATTCAAGCATGCAACCCTGACAAAACATCGTGAAATCGGAAATTCAAGATGAATACTCTTGAATTTCATGATGAATCCTTCTTACAGTGGAAGTTGCTTTGATTCAGTGGGAGCTTCTGTTTCATTCAGTGGGAGTTCTCCTTCCATTCCTTTATTCTTTCTTTTCATTTGGTGAGCTGCTTATCTCGCAGAGTGGGAGTGTTGGAATCGTGGATTTCGGCTGCTCGATAGCTAGCTCGCTAGATACAATACGTACAAACATTATGTAACGGATCTGCAAACTTGGCGTTCCCCCCCATCCTGGTGCGGGTCAGTACGAGTCATAGGAGCTATAGGAGCCACATTACATCAGTGGCTGCCTCCACACTGACTGATGATGTGCCTGCAGCCCGTCTTTAAGCGGAGCCGAAAACAATCAAAGCGATCTGGGAGGTGCCTGCGCGGGGCGGACGCCTGCGGACGTCACGGTGGAGATTGTCGCGGCGGTGACTGCGCCGAAGCGGCGCGTGCGCGGCGTGCAGCCGATGGAGGAGAGGTCGAGCCTGTGCTGGAGGCGCGTGACGCTGGCTCTGGGAGGGGAAAGAAGGCGGCGTCGGCGCGGCGCTGGTGTGGAAAAGGAGAATGCGCGAGGGGAGGAGCCGACGGCGGTGTGGGGGCAAGGTATGCGTGCCGCGGAGCAGGAAGGTGAAGGACGGGCCCACGCAGAGTACGGTGGCGGCGACAGTGCCTGAAAAGGCTACGCGGACGTGAAGGAAGGAGAAAGATAAGCCATCGATATCATACCCGACAAACGACATATTGAAATCGAGTAATTTCGTTATCGCTTACGCTTACGCTTGTTTACTGTACGAACATGTCCGTGAGGAATCCACCTCTGTTGTTCGGGTGCTACAGGTTGCATCGAGGTAATACAATCTACAACTGTTTGCGTAACCGATGAGACTGCGGAAAGAGAAGAAGGAAATCAGGACCCGGATTTCCCCAGTGTTTCTTCTTAATGCCTTATTAAGGGCAAGATTTTTGGCTAAGGCCTTATTAATGTTTAAGGCTTAATTACGGGCGCCATATTAAGGCCTTAAGAACATATTTTTGAAATAACTTTTAGTTCAATACTACTCGCTCTCGCCATCATAGTCATCACCCGACCCTTCCAGCTCACCGTCATCAGGTTCTTCATCAGAATGCTCAGCGGCAAGGAGCTCCAACAGCAGCTCCTCCGAATTAAATACCTTGTGGGGGCGACGAGTTTCTGGAGGATTTTTTATCTTTCCCCCCGAAAAGAAGCGAGAGCATGCAAGGAAGCCATTTCTTACGGCTCGCACAGTGTGAGTAGCAGTAGCTGGAGTTTGCTCTTCCTCGTTCTCTTCGGCGGCCATCTCCTCCCGCGCTGAGACGGCCCAATGTGTGAAAAGCTTGCGCCATGCGGCACATGAATTCACCAACTTGAAACACGTGCTAATCCGTCCGGCAGTCGTGGGCAACGGTCGCAGCAGTGACAGATGAAAACTTAAGCGACGATGTGATCCATTACATCAATCCATCATTAAGACTTAATAAGGCTTAATATGAACCATGCTCGTCTGTGAGCCTTAATAAGGCCCCCCTTATTAAGGCTTAACATTAAAAAGAAACACTGGATTTCCCCGCCTCAGAACCTCCGCACTCAAGGGACATTGTATCTCACACCAGGACTATCCAAATTTGTGCCACACAAAGTTAGTCCTGATGTGGGTACCGAAGGCTCCAACCATTGAGTTTACGTTTACATGATTTTTGTAATTACTATTAGACTGTCCAGAACTGATAATTTTCTGCCACGGCCGCCAACTTGCTCTTATTATATAATTCAACTAAAACTCGGTAGCGGCGCAAGCGCCGGTCCGCTACTCTCTTTTTGATGGAGTATCAGTGGATGAAAATGAGAATTTTGCACAGAACAGTGTAAACAGTGTAGGGAATTGAGAAAAGGATCCATTGGTTGAGAGGCTGCCTGCATGGTGAGATACCGTGTCGTAAGAACAATATACGTACGTTGGGAAACTGGTCAGACAGGTAGCAATTTTTAAAATATAAACGGCAGTGACCCAATTTGCATTACCGTCTCCCTAAAATCACCTGGCTTCATCGCTTCTGCTACTAGTATCCACTTCATCGTGCGGCAGCATGAATGATATAAAAGTCGCTATTTGAAAAGTGGGAACGTCGATAGTGACACTGGAGCACTCCTCTGACCTTACGACGTATGGTAAGTATCATCACAATTAACCTGTTGCCGAAATCGGTTGTCCTCCGCTTGTAGATTAATACCACGCGGAACTCTAAGTTTACGAAAAGACGGCTAAACGTGGAATTGAGGTACCCATCGTATACGTCCCTGCGTGACAAACATCAACGCTGCCGCAATCCACGCCGCCACGGTCCACACAGTGCCTTGATGGTACAAATAACCCTCCCGGTATAAAGAAGTCCGCCATGCCTGCATGCGAATCGCCCATTTCCAGAATGTTCAACAAGCTGCTCTTGACCGTCCTCGCCGTGCTGTTTCTCGGTCAGGGGTCCGTATCGATTCCTCAGACCAGTGCCAGTGCTTGTATGTCTTCTTCCACCTCGATCTACCCTTACTTAACTGCACTACGCAGGTGGAGACCCGTCTGTGCGTATTAATTTTAGCGGAACGTTCGGTAACCACAATAATGAACGTTACTGAACCCGGCCGTCCCACATAGGACCCTCCCTGTATGCAACAGTTGCTCTCGCTAACACTGCTTACGAAAATCTCTCCAGGCCCTACAGGCGAATACTGCTGTCACCCTGGACCAATAGTTCTCGGTGTCCCCAAGGCGTGAGTGGGCTGTGCTTCTTCTTGAGTTGGGTGGTGGATGACTCTCGTCGCAGCGCATATTGCACAAGCGGGGCTTGTCCGTTTTAGGACGAGCCATGCCTGTACGTCACTAGCCAGTCCAAGAGGGTGTCTGCCTAGTTCCATGCATGCCAGTCATGAGTCCGGAACGACATAAGCTCTATTAGTCTACCAGTGTAAAGAAAGTTTATGACCCAGCTTGGTAAAAGTGATCTGTGCGTGGGGAGCCGTTGGCAAAGACAAAGGAAAGGTAAAAGTCAGGCTTTCACCCCGGGAAACAGGCTGGCTATTACTCTAGGTAATTTACAGCCCGGAATTTCCCTCAAAAAAATCTTGCCTTTGTCCCCGATGAAATCTCGCGGTAAAAGACCAACATTTCCTGTCTTTTATCCGTAGGTAAGAGGGTGTATTTTTCCATCATGGTAACTCAATTACCTAAGGAAAATGAGCCTAGAACTAGGTAACTCAGATTCGTAACAATAGATCCATCGGGACTGCATTTACTGTAGTATTTCATTCAATTGATAACTTGAAGGCCATTTGGGGTGTGACATGGCCTTACGAATTGACCCTTTCGTAAGGTGATGGATGGCTGTGTGACTTACGAAAAAATTTCGTATCTGGCACACAATTCCTGCCCCGCAGGGCCGCTCTAGAATTTTTTTTTCCCTATTGGCCGAAACCCCTCTGGGGACATGTGACCAACATGTGACTTACGAAAAAATTTCGTAAATTTGGAGGGTGTGTGACGCGTGACTTAAGTATCAATTGAACGAAATACTACAGTATGCTGTAGTCGTAAATGCCATTTACGACTACAGCGTAAAGGCAGTCCCGATGGATGTGGTGTTACGAATCTGGATCCATGTCAGCAGCCGCCCAACCTCATGACTGCACCATCCTTTTCAGGCCCTTGCTTCTACAAACTCAATAGCGCGCATAAAATTGCGCTGTATCGGCCGGTTATAACCGAGTGCTTGCCTGTTTCTTGGGATACGCGTCTGAATGGTTTCCAGAGCCCATGAGATTTTCAAACTCATGTTATGCGATGATCTCGAGCCATTCCGGCACCGACGTGTTCCTTTCACCACTGGCAGTGTGTGCCACGATTCGGGTCTACCAGCCGCCTGAGCCGCGGTTCACTAGAGTGGACAGCACGTGGCAGTACGTACCACGGCCTCTGGACATGTATCCATCGGTGGATCCACGCACACTATACGCTAGCCCGCTCCGTAGTCAACGCTTGTATAGCCTATCTTTCGCGACCCGGTGGTGTACAGGCGCACGGCTGCTACTTGTCGTTGTGCCGTTGTGTAGGATTATGCAGCAGGATCTCGTTCGATTCGGGGCCGGGTCGTTGGGCAGTAGGGAAATCTTTTCTCACGCTGCACAGGTATTTCTCGTCCTCGGCACGAAGAGTCGACATCGGCCGATTCAGAAGCACCGCGGTGGCAATGTATAATTATTTCACGATTACTTCGTTCATAACAAGTGCCCGAAGTGCTGAGTACTAATGCACCCCGAGGGGCGGGACCTTAGTAGAATATTCTAGATACACTCCTGTACTATATAAGGTAGACACTCTGACCCAACAGCCGAGTGCCCAAGCTCCTGAAGAGCTCAATCACAACACACTTCTCTGACTGTAGTTGTATTGACCACCAGTTCCGCCTCGCGGGCCGCGGCTCTCGCGCTCCTGATTGCGCCGACTTTCGAGCAGGACCCGGACCTGAAATCGCGGCATCTTCATCACGGAGTTCTGCAGCTCTTTCGACCAGCGTACTGTGAATGGCATTTCGTCATGCTTATGGGTGGGCACAGCTCGCAATTGGAAACTCGATATCGGCGTTCTTCGCCACGGGTGTTACCAATATCTTGAATGGTCGTTCTTTCCCATTTTTTCATATAAATTCTGACAGTACTATCTCACGGCTGTATATCAACACTTCCTCATCGGCCTCGCCCCACGGCCCTACAAACTGCGAGGATCTTCTTCGGCTGTGACTGCAGAACGTCCGATGGTATGCATACACTATGGCCACAACGTGAGCTGACACTTGAACATTAAATGCAGGGTGGGTCGGGGCGGTATCCAGCCTGGTTCATGTCCGTCGCGGATTCCAACAGCATGTGCGAAGCCCTTGCGGTGACTAGGGTATGTACCGTTCAATCGTCAACTAACACCTATATAGCCTAGCCTGCTATCTATCACGACTCCGTGGTGCACAGGCGCATGGCTGTTGCTCATAAAGCGTCTCGACCTCAGATTATGCAGCCGAACCCCGTTCGATTTGGGGCCGGGTCGTTACAAGGAGGTGAGTCTCACCACCTGTTTTTTCGTCCTTGGCATGCAACTTGTCACATGTCAAGTTCCAGCCGCATTGACATGCAAGAGTCGACAGCGGTCGTTTCGGGACCACTGGCAGCATATCATTGTGCCACGACTGGGTATCAACCCCAGCCACGTGACTACGGCATCTGGACATCTGAATCCACTCGTACCGCGCTAACACGCTCCGTAGCCATGGTAACACACCACTGCTGAGTGCCTGATCCAAGTAGTCACGGGTCCGAACCTCGCTATTGGGTTACACTGCAGGTAAAACTGTAGTATTTTAATCAATTCGGACAGGGGTTTGAGGTGTGACACGCATGTCCGAATGTACCCATTCGGACGATCCCTCGGTGACAGTGTGACATCCGAAAAATTTCGTACGCCGCGTACCCGGCCCCGCAGGGCCGCTCCAGCTAAAACTGCGGAAATTTTCGCTCCAGGGGACCCTTTCGGACGGACCCTCTGTGACCCTGTGACGTCCGAAATTTTTCGGAAATTTTTGGGCCTGTGACCCGTGACCGTCCGAATTGATTAAAATACTACAGTAGTTTCGTTGAACTAAGCCTACGCAGATTATGTAAGTCACGGTCCGAGTAAATCCGGACTCGGAGTCCTACACCCTGCAGTTTGCCAGTGGTACGTGTTCCTTGACAACCAGCCGCTGAAGATCGCTGAAAGAAGCTTCAAGTCTTGCATACCTTGCATATCTATATCACCCTGGAAGCTGGACCGCTGAGGTGTGGCCACTACGTCGCTTCAGGCTCTGGTTTGGTCTACCTTGGTCTAGCTGAGTAGATCTAGCTACCTGGATGAACAATGTTTAGATTCCTCTCCGGCAGATTCGGGCCGACTTGATGCCGGCGCAGCTTGGGGCGGTAAATGTAATGTGGTCCAACTACCAACTTGAAGCTCACAAGCCCGAGCACAGCTACATTTGCCTATGAATGTCCAGGTCGGTGGAGGTCGGTGGGTATACCTAGAGCTGACCTGGACATATATTAGATGCAGGGGTGCGCCTAGGTGTTGGCTCAGCCTGAGGTTCTTTCTGTCCAGCCAGAGATGGGACACAGTGTACCCGGGCCTAAGTGACGCCTATATCTAACGTATACCGCGACTCGGTGGTGCACAGGCGCACGGCTGCTGCTTATGAAGCAAGAGAAATCAACTTGATTTTCGGACTATGCAGCAGGACCTCGTTCGATTCGGGGCCGGGTCGTACATGGAAAATAGACGGAGGGTGAACTTTTTCCCCACCCTGAACACGTCTTTCTGGTCTTAGGCACGCAAAGAAAATGTTGAGCAAGCGCAAGAGTCGACAGTGAGTCGACAGCGGCCTATTCTGGAGCGCCACTACGGCGTATGATTATTTTACGACTTGGTATCGGCCCCAGCCACCTCAGGCTGAGCTGAGGGTAACTAAAAATGCATCTGGACCCTCTGGATCCACTCTGTAGTAACTACTAGTAACGCCTATATACTAATATACCGCGACTCGGTGGTGTACAGGCGCACGGCTGTTGCTCATAGGGCTGTCTCGACCTTAGATTATGCAGCAGGACCCGTTCGATTCGGGGCCGGGTCATGCTCCAAGTCTCCATAAACCCTTTTTCCCACCTGGCCCAGCCTCAACAGCACACATGAATATCGGAAATTTAAACGAGTACAGCGACTCCGCGCTCGGGTTCTGTGCTTATTTCGGTAGCAGCGGCTGTGGACACGGGCGGGGACAGGCGGAGGCTATACTGCATTTTGACACCGCCTCGACCGGTCGGTCGAGGCGGTGCTGAAATGCATGGGGCACTGCACTTCGCCGTGTTTCAGAAAAATGCTCTGGCTAACGCTTTGGAAGGGAGCGGGAACTTGAATCATATGTACGCGACGACTTTTTGGGCCCTATTTCGTGCTTATTACGAGGCATGACTCAATAAATGAACGAAATGCGACAGTACTTGGGATGAGTCACTGCTTCTACTAATAGTTCGAGCTGTCACCGTCTTGATGTTGCGCGATTCGGACACAATTCACTTTAACTAGTGGTGTGGGAACTTTTTGTGCGCTGGACTGAAGAAGCGGTGAAGAGCCAGTACTTGCAATCCGATATCATTTTGGATTGACCAACGGATATTCATGTCGATAACTTCCGTCCTCCCATGGTATCTCCCATTGCGGTGGATGCAGTTGCGGTTATTAACCCGGAAACGATCCGGAGAGAAATACCCTCCCAAAACGACGGTTCAAACGCCCGGAGAAGAGTCGGGCTCCGACATCCCCAAACGGCGCCGCTGCCGGCGACGAGATCACTACTGATGCAGTGATAGGCGCGGCTGTTGCAAGACTCTTTAGATAAATCACGCTGAGCTGACGGCTTTTCAAAATAAAAAAAGGGGGGGGGGGGGCGACACCGGGGATGAGGATTGCTTTTGAAGGCCGAATAGCCTCTAAAAGTGTTGAAAAAACCGCGTTTCCGAGGCTCTCCGAACCATTTTCTGGCCCGCGCGACCCTATATATCGGTTTCCGGGGGGAAATGGGCAAACCCGTATCTGGCATTCCCATTTCAGACATTTACGTAAGTAAAGCGTGCATACATATCCGGGCCGAGGAAACCTTACTGCGGGGCACTACTAGTATACAGCGGAGGGAGACGCCAAGAATGACGGGGCGGTGCGATGGATGGACATAGCATCCGGCTATCCTAGCTCAGCTACTAAGGCTGTTGTGACATCTTCAAGTTCTTACAAATATAGAGCAAGTCCGATGCACTGCTGAGTACGGCATGGCGCTGCCGTTGCTCTGACATTATTCCACCCACACAGTGTACAGTCATTAACCAGGAAGCGCAACAACACCATGTAGCGCAACACTGCATATTCAGTGCTTTCTGGTGCCCAAAAAAATCCAAGAAATTGGCCACATATGGAGAGTCATCATATAATTGAGGCACTAAAAAGATTTAGCCCACAGGAGCCTGTGAGGCCAGTAAAAAATAACTATCTGTGGCCAGATCAGCTGGGCCTGAGTGCACCAAAAACCAATTGATGTTCCTGCACGTTCTAGTACTATCTGAGAGACAGCTTAGGTGGACTATGGTTTTTAGGCTCCCTGAGAACACCCGTAGTGTGTTTGAGCCAAAATCTCCCATGGATCATACTTAAATGTGAGGCGCAAAGTGTTGCGCTTCTACATTATTTGCACAAATTTGATGGCCCACATAGATTGGCCTCGTTCTCAACAATCACTGAACAGAATTGGTGGGAGTGAGTTGCAGCCCAGATTAGGCATCCAGGTGATGTATATGTGAACTTAAACGTTGGGATTCAAATTATATTTGGTCGAGATATCATCAAAATGGCCAGAATGTTGCGCTTCCCGGTTAATGACTGTACATTGAATTGACTAGGATCTGTATATCTTTCGTCCAAAATAAGTAAGCGGAAGGCACCATCTGATCGAAAATCACTAAGTGATTTTAATCAAACGAAAGGTGGCAGTGCTCGACCTCCCCCTTCTCTCCCTCGATGGCCCTTCTGCACAACGCACTCGTTCTGGCTGGGCTCGCGATCTTCACGCCCCGCGTTTCCGCAGCCATCATCTTTGTGCATCACAACACCGGCCTCTCCTCCCCGGCTCGAATCGCGATCATAGTCGGTACGCCCTAGCTTACTCTCTTCACACCTACATCCAGGCCGATTGGGCAACGCGCTATCTGAACCTGTTCCGCTATCTGACACCTCCGATACCCCCTCAGTCTGCGTTGTGATCGTCGTACTCGCCATCGCCTGCCGTGTCGCGCGCATGCGCCAAGCCCGCCGCGCCGTCGGCGCTGTCATCCTGGAGCCTGTGCCCCAGGGCCCCCCGCATCCTCCGGGCAGCTACCCTGGGGCCTACGGTCCTCCGCCCGTGCCAGGGCAGTACCCGCCGATGCAGACACCGCCTATGCAAACCTACTACGCGCCCGGTCCGTATGCCCAGCCAGCCTTCCCACAGCGCACTGGCTCGGAAGAGGAGAAGGGACTGCCGGTGCGTGTCATGTCTTCTGTGCACAATTCAGACAAATTCATGCATCTGCATGTGCTATAGCCACTGGTCTACGACCACCAACGGCAGCAGGCGCCGTACTACGCCCCGGTGCGTCCCCTTCTTCTGAGTGCGGAACACGCCGTGAATATTGATTCCTCTCAGCCGCCGTTGGGCACACCCACCGGTGCGCCAGGAGCGTACCAATACGCGTCTCCCCCCGCCCTAGGGCCCCAGTCGACATTTGCCGGTTACACCTCTCCACCCGGCCCCCCGCCGCCCGGAGCCGGTTACCCCGCGCCTCCCGGCCCTCCGCCGCCATCCAGCAGCTACCCTCCTCCCACCGATCTCCCGCCCCCATTCTCAGGATACGATGCTGCTCCAGTACGTCCCCCCGCAAACGCGCCTTATCTTCCACACGTGACGTGAATTGACGTTTTCGTTCCTGCAGAACCCAGCAGCGCCCGCACACATCACGGTAGACCCTGCGCGCATCCCTCCTGTTTGGCAGGCTGATTAATATGGTGGATACAGGATCGCAAGGGGTACTACTGATCCCCGCTTTTGCTTCGCTGCCATGGGTTTCCGTTTCGTCTTGTTTTCATGCGAGGGGTCTCGCAGCTTCTCTAACTTATCACCATATGTCGACCGATTTTTATTTTTTGGGGTTGAGCGAGAAACATCGCACTTGTTCAGGAGGACCGGCACCCCCCGCGATTGCGGCATAAGCGCTGCATGCTAGCGACCGCGCAATTGCTGTAACATCTCATTATCATGGGCTCCTACCTCTCTTATTCTTTTCGAGCCCTTGCCTCGATAACGGCGGGTGGACTCACCCGTACCTGGGCTGCTCGACTCGCAGCTTCCCGTTGCCATCTTGTACCCGTTCGACTCGGGCTTGAGCCGTGGCATACAAAGGAGAATAGGAGCCGATTTTTTTTGCGTCCTCTGCTTGGGCCCGCGAGTCGCAGATCTCTGTTGTGCATAGACGAGGTTCATTCTACTCAGGGTGCATAATTCACTGTTCGTTCCATCGTGTGCATGGAGGATATATGGGCTAGTAAAACACGTGAGACGAGTAAGGGCGCAGTTGAGTTGGGATTACATTGTCACTGTGTCAGCACATTGCCCAGTAACATTGAAGCTTTACGCGTTTCTCGAATTAGAATGCCAAGGAGTTACATGGTCGCTGGATTACAAGGAATGTAGTATCAACTATTCTAACAACCGCTCTACCGTGAGCTAGACCACAGACCGGTGCATCGGCCAGCATGAATGCTGTTCATGCCTTGCAACATCACAGCCACAAATATTTGCCGTAGAAATCCGGCACAGACCGGAAACAAAATATGAACCCGGCGGATTCCACGTAATAAATGTGTCGGTTTTGATTTGATGTGCCCGCCCCCTTTGTGAATGTGCTGACACAGCGCTTTCGGTCCTCCACCTTAGTAAACGCGGACAACCTGCCAGAGGAATGGTGGAAGTTGGCTGAGGTTTTAGTGAGAGCACGGAATTTGTATCCTGTGCTTTGCATACAACAAATAAGGCATAGTGAAGGTTCATTATCCTCCACGGACCCACACTGCTGCGAAGCGGTGTGCGTAAGTGGGAGACTTTCCTGTACACAAACTTTTTAGGTAATGTGAACCCATAGTTCAAGAAATTTTGTAAATATACTTTTTGTACAGTACGACTGCCCTAACCAAGGGGGTCCGGGCCGGTCAAGCCGTGACCAAGGGTAGGGAGGGTGGTTCGACCGACCGGCAGGCAAAGAAAAAAAAATCATTTTTTATTTTGGTGATTGAAAATCGGCAGAATACCATACTGATGAGCCACAGACCACTTTATAGCAGTTTTCCATCAACGGGAAGGTCTAACGGGGTGGGGATCACGCTATGTGGCCCAATTCGGAAGGTGATGCGATCAGTTTGGGTCTGTTTGACAGTGGACAGACGTCAGACGACGTGCATTTTTCGGCATTCTCGTCATCCAAGTCAAATTCTGGCTTTGTTGGCGCTAAAATGGCTTCTTCCAGGGTAATCTGATGTCTGTCAGTCTATTCTATCACCTTGACCAGGCATTTACAGGAACGGCGAGAGGATGACGCAATGCGAGCGCTTTGGGCAAAAGATGCAGAGAAAATCGGCAGCGCGACATGTCCCGACTGTAACAGGGTTCTTAAATATGGGCCCGGCGGA